AGACCGTCTTCTTACCCGGATTTTTTACCGGTCCCTCTCTTACTTCCAGATGGCAACCCGGAAGAGTTGGTCTGCTCAGGCTTTAGGTGCCTAAAGGACGCTTTCTTCTTGGTCCATACTTTCGGAGCATATGTTCTTTTCCTCCGGTGCGACAACCCAGCATTTCGGCTGGTGTGTCCTCCACCATTAGGACCTGGTCGCTCGGTTCTCCAATCTCAGGCCCAGTTCGAATTCAGCCCTCCTGTGGTACCGTCATAGATCACTACTATCTCCAAACTCGGGACTTGCCAAATGGGTTTTCAGTTATTCCGGTTCCTCAGATTTATTGCGCCAAAGCTCCTATAACTAGATGGTATAACTGAGATTACAGATTTCTAGATCCAACTGATAATCGACAACCATAAACCGTAACACAGGCTATTTTTCAAAATTCGTCGTCTATGGGATTTTAACTCTAGATCTGCCACTTGGAGAGGGTGAAGACTAGACCACTACACTAAGTCGCCACATCTCCAATTATTATAAAATAATTATAAAATTATAATAAGATTATTATATAATAATTGAGCGTTAGTTTATGGTGACCCTGTGAACAACCAATCAAAATCGATCACGTGAGTCATGTGACGACCAATTTGCGAAGATCAAATCGGTCGAATACGTGACTCACGGGCCCGATTTTGATCGATCGATTATCGTGTAACAAAACTACAAGTTAAAAAAAAAAAAAAAGCAAATTTATCTATCTATCGCTACCAGATACAACCCGAAATTTTTTATTTTTTTTTTAAAAAAAATCAACGATACAAAATGATATATAATGATATAAATTTAATCTAAAAAAAATACTTCGCCTAGCCCTATACACCCATAACAGATCGAACAATTTCCCATGGAGACAAAACAAAGATGCCAGAAGTACTCACTTCCTCCCACAAACGATACTCCAAGAATGACTCCAAGACCGATGACTCCAAAAATGACGACTTCAAGAAAAGAAGCATCTAAAAAAAAAGAGAAGTTATACCCGTAACAAAAAAAAAAATAGCTAGTAAAAAAAAAAAAAAAAACTACTTAAGACCACACAAAGTAAATTTTTTGCTTTGTATTACCCGCCGACTCATTTTTTCTATTTTTGTCATTTAATTTTCCCCCATAAATTATTGGGTATTGCCCGGTAAAGACCTTATTTTTCCGGAATTATTCGATAGAACTGATAAAAAAAATTCATTTGCCAACCCAATTTTCTGATTCCATGTTATGTAAAGCGAAAAATTAACTATGTGAGACCTTAAATATGAATATGAGTCTATTATTTACTGTAGAATAAAAATAAAATAAAATAAAAAAATAAAAAAAATCTAACTACCGACCGTTGATTCTGAAATTCATCTAACTGATGAAGATCTTGACTCCCACTACTACGATGACTCCAAGAAAAGAAGCTTCTAAAAAAAAGAGAGAAAGTGGTATCTATAACAAAAAAAACAAACTAGTAAAAAAAAAAACCACTTAAGGCTACACAAAGTAAATTTTTTAGTTTGCATTACCTGCTGACCCATTTTTTCAATTTTTTTTTAGGTTCCAATTGCCAATTGTTCTATTTTTGCCATTTAATTTTCCCCATAAATTATTGGGTATCGCCTGGTAGAGACCTTATTTTTTCAGAATTGTCCGATAGAACTAATAAAAAAAATTGTTTGCAGTGGGATACCACCTATAATATAATTATATTATAGATGGTATCTTGCTTAGATTAGATTATATAATCTAGATACCACTATATAATCCGAATATTATTATATAATCTAGATATCTCTATATAGTTTGAATAACACTATATGATCTAAATAATATAATTTAATAAATACTATATAACCTAAATATGTAATCTAATTGCTACTATATAATCTATATATTTTCTATATCAGATATCCATTTTATGTTCTGGCTATCTCTTTGAACTCTTTCTGATATTTATATTTTAACACTATATGATCTAACTATTTAATCTAAATACCAGCATGTGATCTAAATACTGCTATTTCCTTCTTGTTTCTAATCCATTTACACGTCAAATTCTATATTGTTTATACTAGTCTTCTGTACCTGTTTGGATGCCCAGTTCTATGTTGAGGGTGCTGGTTCTCTGTGCCGGTCTGGATATTGGATTCTATATTGAGGTACTTACCTTCTGTGCCTATTTTGTTGGCTGTCAAATACAAAAAAAATATTGCGTCAGATGGCGCAGTAGATCTGCATTTAATTTTGGCCAACACTATAGTATAATTTTGGCCGATCTTTAGGACACATAATTTGAGGATCTAGTTTGGCAACACGATAGCACCACGGTGGTGTCATGGAACTGGCAAGGTTCCAGAGAGGTTCTGTTTGTTCACTTTTTATGCCAGCTTGGATGCCGAATTCTTATATCCAAAGATCTGGCCAAAATTATGGAATAGTGCTGACCATAATTAACCGAATTTACTGTGCCTTATTGCGCCCTGAGTTCTGAGAACATCCCAATGCTCCACTACTTTCGAGAGCCTGGTTTGGTGGTCAGTTGTTAAAGTATTGCTGTCCCATTTGGTTGCTAGGGAGTGTGCCATTATGCAACCTAACTATTATTATCTATTAGTTTTCGGTATAAGCATGCTAATTCTGCATTCTAATATTTTATATAATATTTTCGAAGTTACCTTCTCTGAAAATATACCTAAATTTATACCATTGAGTAGAGTAGTATAACGATTGAATTGATAATATTTCGGATGGCTGACACTGGTGATGCTGATGCTAGCAACGCTAAAGGAGGTGTGAATAGGTTGTGGTTGGTACTTGAAAAAGAGGGGTTTCCTTGATCGAAAATACTTGGGACCATAGTCACGTGATGAAGGCTTCTTCTAATATTATATATATATTACGGAGAAGCCTTCACTTTCAAATACATACCCAGTTGTCTTTTTTTTATGATTTACTACCTAAGTTCATGTGTAGCCTTCTTCCAATTTTTATATAATATTTCTGAAGAAGGCTATATACCATACCCATATTTATACTAGCGATAGGGTAGGTAAGTTCCACTATTTTATATAATATTACTGAGAGTTGGCCTACCCTAAATATGCAATATATACCACATATGTCTGAATATATATAACCCAAAATTGTATAGCTAGTTTGCATCAATGAAGGTAAAAAATAACGTCTAAGGATGGAGGCTTCTTCCAATATTTTATATAATAATTCCGAAGTTACCTCTATCTTTTTTTGTATCTATCAAAAAAAATAATTAAACATTTCAGAAATATATTGTGATATAATAACTTTACCTATTGACAACATGCATACTACAACTATTTTTGACCAAACTGATTGCACTGGAACCGGCCTCTCGCCCGCTATGACGGTGCCAAGACTGATGAATATTTAAGCGACTCAGATAATTATAATGATTCTGATTGTGGATCATATGATTATAATAACTACAAGTCTAATTGTGAGTCAGATAGTGAAGAAATACTCTGTGCTTCAACCAGCACTACCATAACTCCATTATTTCAGTTACTAAGTGTATAAGAGCAAAAGACTAATGCAATATACACTTTAAGACAAGAAAAGTTTAATAATGATTTCACTCCCAAGGACCTACTAAATAGTATTCAGGAAATTCTCTTATCACCGCCTAGAGATATGTCAAATAATAAAGGCTTATTAGATTGTCTTCCAATCTATTCATTCCTCTTTCCAAATGAAAAAGGCTCTAGCCTATATAATGTTTATGACCGAGATGAAGTTAAAAATAAATTGGTTATCAAAATCGATCAAGACGATCGAGCCCCAAAGTTTTCCATTGCAGATGATATTTCTGAAGTATATGGTTTGCCTGGGATTCATGAATGTATTAATGGTCAAAAACCTTTAAGAGCCGTGATTGATATAAATGCTTCGCAGGAAGATATGGAAACAACTGGTGTTAAGGCACAAAAAGTATTCATTCGAATCTGTCTATCTTTCATAAGAGCCTTGTATCGAATTCTCGACTGTAATTGGGAAAACATTCTCAATGGGTTAGTTATTGCTACATCTTCAGATTTTAGCAAGTGTAGCTACCATATTTTATATGCACCAGCTCTTCTTATCAACCATCACGAACTCAAAGCATTCTTAGAATTAGTATATACCTTAACTGGGGAAAAATTTGGCAAGTTCATTGATTAGAAATTACCTGGTCACAACTTCAATCTTCACCTTATTGGTTCGGCAAAAAAGGTCACGTAAAGCATATTCTTCAATTCTCACTAGATAATGGATGGAATGAGCTCGATCATACTAGAGTTCAATCATCTACTAGCTTAGGGCTTGAAGTAAGACCCCGATTACTTAACACAGAAAAAAATAACAATCCACTAAGAATAATCGTAGTTTTGCAAAAGTATTCTAAATATCTTAGGAATTGGACTATCAAAGAAAATGATTCAGGAAACTTTGTATATTTTAACTGGAAAGCTCCACTAGAATGTCCATTCTGCAAATGCATACATGACAAGAATCAGCGGTGGTTCGGTCATGTATTTACTACTGGTACATTCATTGTGAAATGTTTTCGGCAAAATAGTAATGAACCTGGGGAAGTTTTTGAATGCAACCCATCTATTGCAGAAAAAATTCGGCGAGAAAATAAAAATTTACCGCAATCATCTCACAAGGTAAAAGCTCCCAGTTTCCCTAAAGCCTTTATAAAATTCCCATCCTGGGCCAAGTATAATGACCCCCTTATAGCGACAGAAATATATGAGGAGAGATATGTAAGACCATTACCCAATGAAGGTGATATTTATGTGAGGTCACCTTGGGAAACAGGAAAAACATATATTCTTGAAAATTTGGTTATTCCTGATGACATAAATTTACTAGTGCTGTCTACACGTCACTCTTACTCGAACACTATTACTACAAGGCTTAATCTTAAGTCATATTGCGATATTGATGGAAATATAAATCTCTCCGATCATAAGAGGGTAGTATGCCAAATAGAGAGTTTACATCGCATTACTAACAAATGCAAATGTAGTAAAAAATATAAATGTTCCTCAATACAATATGACTTATAGCTTGATGAAATAGTGTCTATAATTGCTTAGGTACAGAGTCATTTAGCCGGGCAGTCAATAGAGAAATTATTTAAATTAATCCAAGAGGCTAGGCGCATTATTGTAATGGATAATGACATAACTGACCTCAACGTTGAATGGATTAAGG